AATCTGAATAGAATTCTAACTGCATTGTATCAATTGATGTTATTTGCTTCAACTTTAACATAATTATGCAAAAAAAACTATACATCTCTCACAAATTCATCACTGAAATTTCGAATTCTTATTTTTTACAAATATTTTTTATCAATTTTCTTGTCGAAACACTCGAGCACGTAAACTGACGCTAACTGATAAATTTAAAACTTTATAGGGATTTCAATGCCTTCTATTTAAAAATATAGAATACTCAGCAAAGTTCTTCAGATGTCACTATGAGAATTAGTGCTGCTCTCTAGTTACTCTAGTTACTTGATTTAGCACATCAGTACATTTTAAAAAATATAAAATATTAAAAAATAGTGAAAGATAAATTTCTCGTTTTTTAATTTGCATATACTTCTCAACTTTAAATTTTTCTGTGGTTTCTGTGAAGACACTCAAATAAATATTACACTTAACCGATTCACGATTTTATAGTAACATATTTATTTTATTTCACATATTATTATATTCGGTTTGATCTTTTATTGAAAACAAAAACTGCTGCATAAAATTTCTATTGTTATTCTATTGTATTAATCGTTTCTAGGGCAACGAATAAAGGTATTCGATAATTTTATTTTATATTTTTTTTTTATTATGAAAGTTGCTGTAAATTTTTTATACATGAATAAAATTTCAAACTTTTATCTTCTATTTCATTTTTATTTATAAAAATAACATAATACGATGCCTGATCAATTTCGCAATTTTACGACGACTATATTATGACTTGTTTCGATCGTTCATTGAAAACTATAGAATACTCAGCAGAGTTCAGATACTATTACTATGAGATTTGATATCTAGTTTCTTGATTTAGCATTTAATTATATTTTAGTGGGTGATATATTTCTCGTCTTTTAATTTGCATATATTTCTAGTTTTTGAATTCTTCTGTGGTTTCTGTCAAGATTTTCGAATAATATCGATATGACGGCCAATTTCACGATCATGTAGTAACTTTTATATCTCAACTTCGATTTCATTTTTCATTGAAAAATGAGAAGTGATGTATAGAATTTCTATTATTAGTGCAAGGTTATTATATTAATAAAGATATTCGATAATTCTATTTTTTTATATATTTTTATTATGAATATTGCTATAAATTTTTTATGTATGAATAAAATTTCAAACTTTTATTTTCTATGCTTAGTTTTTATTTCTAAAAATACTAAAACATATGATACGATGAATGATCAATTTCGTGATTGAATGATGACCATTTTGTTCGATCTTTCTTTGAAAAATATAGAATACTCTGCAAACTTCTGATATCACTATGAGAATTGGTGCTGCTATCTAGTTTCTCGATTTAGCACTTCAGTATATTTTAAAAAATAGTAGGTGATATACTTCTTGTCTTTCAATTTGCATATATTTCTCGTTTTTAAATTCTTTCGCGTTTTCTGTTAAAATTCTCGAATAAATATGACGTCTGGTTGATTTGACGATCGTGTAATAATTATTATTTGGTTTGATCTTTTATTAAAGAATGAAAAGTGATGTATAGAACTTCTATTGTTAATGCAACGATTAGTATTTCATATCAAGAATAATTATATTTTTTTTATATCTTTTTATTATGAAAGTTGTAAATTATTTTTATGCATGAATAAAATTTCAAACTTTTATCTTCAATGCTTGTTTTTTATTTGTAAGAATCAAACATATGATGCAATGCTTAATCGATTTCGTGATTCAATAACGACCATTTTGTTTCGATCTTTTGTTGAAAACTATAGAATACTATAGAATACTCAGTAGAGTTCTGATGTTACTATGAAATTTTATTGCGATCTAGTTTCTCAATTTCAAGTACTTCAGTATATTTCAAAACATAGTGAGTGATATATTTCTTGCCTTTAAATGTGCATATATTTTTCGTTTTTGAATTCTTCCGTAGTTTTTGTCAAGAATAGGTATGAATAAGTATAATGCCCTCTCGATTTCACATTTTTGTAGTAACTATTATATTACTTCGATTTATCTTTTATTGAAAAACGAAAAGTGATACAATTTCTATTAGTACAACGATTAGTAACATATTCGAAAATTTTATTTTATATATATTTTTTTTACTATGAAAATTGCTACATATTTTTTATTCATGAATGAGATTTCAAACTTTTGTCTTTTTTTGTCTGCTTCGGTAATTTATTTGTTAAAATACTTGTATATGATGCGATGCTTGATCGATTTAATGACGACCATTTTGTTTCAATCTTTCGTTGAAAGCTATAGAATACTCAACAGAGTTCTGATGTCTCTATGAGAATTGGTGCTGCTATCTAGTTTCTCGATTTAGCATTTTAGTATATTTTAAAAAATAGTGGGTGATATACTTCTCGTCTTTCAATTTGCATATATTTCTCGTTTTTGAATTCTTCCGCGTTTTCTGTTAAAATTCTCGAATAAATATGACGCCTGGCTGATTTCACGATTGTATATTAATTATTATACTTCAACTTTGGTTTGATCTTTCATTGAAAAGCGAAAGATGTTGTATAGAACTTCTATTGTTAATGCAACGATTAATAAAGGTATTTCATATTAAGGATAATTATATTTTTTTTTATATCTTTTTATTATGAAAGTTGTTGTAAATTATTTATGCATAGATAAAATTTTAAACTTTTATCTTATACTTAGTTTTTATTTGTAAAAATACTCGAAGACATGGTACCATGTCCAATTGATTTCGTGATTTAATGGCAACCATTTTGTTTCGATCTTTCTTTGAAAAATATAGAATACTCGACAGAGTTCTGATGTCTCTTTGAGAATTGGTGCTGCTATCTAGTTTCTCGATTTAGCATTTTAGTATATTTTAAAAAATAGTGNNGGTGATATACTCTCGTCTTTCAATTTGCATATATTTCTCGTTTTTGAATTCTTCCGCGTTTTCTGTTAAAATTCTCGAATAA